CGCGGCGGCCGCGCCCCCTGCGGCTGCAGAGGCGCCTCGCTCCCGCGCACCCCCCCCCCCCCCGCGCGCGCGCGCGCCTTGGGCCGCCTGGGCTGCGCGGGCCTCCCACGGGGGGGGGGCCGCGAGCTCGGCCGCAGCTGCCCAGCGCCCCAGCCGCCGCGCCCCTCCGTTATGCGAGGGGAACGGACCGTGGCAGCAGCGTGGAAGCGCGGAGGCCCGCGCGGATTTCTCGGATCCACGCTGGACCCCCCCCCCTCCCTGGCGCGCGGAGCGCGCCGGGGGCGGCGCCAGAGGCGCCGCCGGGGGGGTCCAGCGCCGATCCGAGAAATCCGCGCGGACCTCCGCGTTTTCACGCTTCTGCCATGGTTCGTTCCCCTGTATATGAACAGGCAAACCCCCCGGCCACGCGTGGCAGGGCCTTCCAGGCCAGCAGGCGGCGCAGAAGAACGCAGCTGGGCCCCCGCGGTCTCGCGTTGTGGGCGGTCCCTCGGGGAGGGCAGTCACGGCTGGAGGCTGGAGCGGAGTGGACCCATCGACAGCACAGCAAATTGAGCATCTGTGCGGGCCCACTTCTGGGCCATAGAGAGAGACAACGGGGGGAGTGTGGAAAAGGGTTGTGAACGCCCAAGCCTTGAGAATGCCTTCGGGCACCTGGGCCACGACCGGCTTTCAACACGGAGTTAACGAGCGTGTTGGACTACATGAAAGCAGTTCCAGGATGTTTGGGATAATACCATCGCGCTCGTGCTCGCGCTCGTGCACGATGGCTCCTTTCCGAGCACGGTGGTCAACATTCAATGTTTCTAATCAGTGAGGGCCAGCAGCATCAAGAGTAGTGGGGCTTCTACTTTCATAAGTCCGATCTTGTCCACCCCGATGTGGCAACTCAAGAAACCCTTCGCACAATATACAACATTACTACAACTTGCAACCCGGTCGACGCGTGGTCGCGACGGAGCCGCCAGATGTCAAACACCCGTTGGCGGCCCGTGACGTATGTCTGGCCAACGCGCTTTATGTACAACATGCAACCGGCTGATCCGCAGCCTGGGACATCATGGGCAGCATGATAATACGCTCTACGCGCTGCTGCAACATCACACACACGCACACGCTTGATTCCGACGATAGCCCAGCCCCCGTGCACGGTCAAAGAGGTCTGCCCATGGATGCCAGATCCATGGCCATGGGCGAGCTTGGGTGAAAGGTACATCATCCAGAACACATCATCCCGGACAGGTGATGCGGGTAAGCGGGGAGCAGGGAGGAGGGAAGTGAAAGTGAGGAGGGTGAGGGATGAGCCCAGTCTCCCAGACATGAACCTCTGGAGGTACGAGGTGCATCACGCAGTGTACGTACATGCAGGATGTACTCAGCGCGTGGCAACACAGAACAAGTGGCATCCTGATCAGCAGTACCCCAGCGATCAGAGCTGCGGTTCAACAGACCTTGAACGGAGGCGGGGATGCCAGGTGCACTAGATATGCAATAGCACCATATACCTCTGCGAGTCGATATCCAAGGAGATTATACAGCCTTTTGGTGTGCTCCCCCATCCATAGCGAGAGTTGTCTGAGCAGGATCCTACAGACGAAACCAAGGGTCAGGCATTCGACGACAGGCATTGTATGCTGAAGTACTCAATCAAGGACGTCTCGCGCGAGAAGGACACTCCACCGCGCTGCAGTCCAAAGCTGAACGACGACAGTGTGGGCCATTAGAGACGGACCTATGACCACTGCCGGAAACACATCAATAGTGATGGATGTGTGCCAGGGGGTCCCCTGTCAGTGTGTTACCAAGCTTCGATATCTGCGAGTTAACCCATACTGGGCCCAAGCTTCGTAACCCCCAGGCTAACATCAGGCTTCAGGTGACAGCTCGAGATACGCGTGCCCCAGCACGTCGGAGGCGCAGCAGGCGACGAGCTGGATCCTCACTAGCTGGATCCATATAGTTATGAGGACGGCGCCCCTGGTTGCCAGGCTTCCTCGAATGGGAATCCATTCTAAGAATGCGCATTGGCAGCTCGATGGCCTGATCACGCCTTCGGGTCTCACATGCAGCGGGTCTTGCCCAGATGTCGGGGGGGGGGGGGGCACGTTTAGAAGAGGACGTGTGCAGCAGCAGCTTGTCTGAAGAGAGCAGTCGTTCCATGATATCTTGCACAGGATCAGGGATCAAGCGAGACCACACGACCTCTGTGACCCCAGTTAGAGCATCTCGACATAGTCAACGACCACCCCGAAGTTGCGAGACGAATGCCGAAGCAAGTTGGCATCGACATTTGGCGCGATCACCTCGCGAAACAGAAGGTCTGCGAACGAGCAGCCAATACTTATAGTTGGACCAGTTGTGGCAAATTGGCCCAACATGAACACGACGACAAGACGGAGTGGGCAACGGTATTTGAGCAGAAAGTTAGCAATGCAGGGTTACACCCAAATAGAAGGCCTGTTGCATGGAGAAATAGTGTAGGGCAGTCTCGATCGCACGCAGTAGCAGGAAATCTCGCAAGAGTAAGAACCGGTCTCCAGAAGCCGCAGACCTCGGATAACCGAGTCTGGCAAATCGACACCATGGCGCAGCTGAAGGAAATCGGCACGATCGGCAGAACTCCTGTTGCATTGCCGATCTGCAGAAATAATAAGGCAACCGTCACTGTGCAAGGGCAGAGCAGGAAAGGGCCTCCACATGCTCCGCTCGAGAGGCGGCAGAGGCATTCCGACGCTCGTGAATTAAACGACCCGCAAGTAGCGTATAAGAAGGAAGGTTTCCTTCTCGAAGAAATGAGCCATAAGCAGCATATAAGAGAAGTTGAGCGGCCCAAAAAGAAGGTGTATCCATCAGGAGGAGTGTTCGGCTGTTGATTTCTGGGTTCCCTGAATTGGCGTCCACAGAGTCTACCTTTGAAGCATTAGAACCACCGTCCATGGCGACAGCGTTGATGGTTCAAGTAGTTCACGTTGTGTCACGACTAACTACTAGCAGCGGACGTTTGGGCAGATGTTGGAATATTACCAGTCTCGGTTCGTACCTCCTGAAGAGCCTGCGCATGCATGAAGGACATCAGCTCCGTATCCTCACGCCGCCATTGCCATTCAGTGGGCAAGAAGACTTGGCGTTCTAGTGGCTGAAATTCGTCGGATGCATGGCAGGCGAGGCGAAATCGTATCAGCGTCCCCGAGAATGTCATACACCGATACCCCAAGTTCTAATGCAACGTGTGGTGCGCCCAGAGGCTGAAAACGACAATGCGCTCCTCCTCATCCTGTGGGCACCGTTTGGGCACCCACTTGCAGCACGGAGGGAGTCTCACCACCTGAATCATAGCTATCCCTCGAAACCCCAGTTGTTTCCCCCCCCCTTGTCTGTGGAGCACCTGTAGCAAGACCACACGAAGCAGGGCTATCGAGGCCGCAGTCGGCCCTCGCCACTGCAGACGGAACGGTGAAGGCACGCGTGAAAACCATCAGCGCTCACACCAGGCCACGGCCCCCGGGTCCTCCCAGCAGCTCCTCTGGACGGCGGGGCCGTCGACGTGGAGCGCGGCGGGGTGGCCGAGCGATCTCGCTCTTCTCGGGGCCCCTATCGGCCCCTCCGCGGGGCTCTGTCCTGCGCCCTGCCGCCGCTGGCCCCTCCCTTTCGTCGGCCTGCTTCCGCCCCCTACAGGCCTCGGAAGAAATTAGCGAACACTCATGCCAGATTCATCTGTCAATGTCCCCCCACCCCAATGATCAAATGCTGGCGGTGGGTTGGATGAGCTGCCCCTCTCGAGCGCAGTCTCCCCCCCGCCGCGTGCCACCTTCGAGTTTGGGGGAGCAGCGGAGTGTCCAGTGTCCACTGATTGCTTCCCCCACCGCAGCTCTCTCCCTCCGCCGCCCCCCCCCTTTGTGGCCCAGGGCTCCACGCGCCCCCCCCCCCGGCGGTGGCACTGGGCGGGCAGCGGGCATGGGAGGGGGGTGCTCCTCCAGGGGCGCCCGGGCGTCGGCCACCCGGGCGGGCGGGGGGGGGGAGAGAGCCTCTGCCGGGGCGCTCCTCCAGGGCCGCCCCTTGGGAGGGCGGGGGGGGGGCGTCGGCCACCGGGGGGGGGGGGGGGCGAGAGCCTCTCCCCTGCCCAGCGGCGCGCAGAGAGGGGACGCGTCGGGGCCCAGCCCGGCGGGCGGGGGGCACGCGGCGCAGCCCCAGGGGGTGCTCCTCCAGGGGCGCCCGGGCGGCGGCCACCGGGAGGGGGGGGGGAACCAGACCTCTGGGGGTCGACGTTGCGAAAAAAAACACGACGTCGGGGGGCCTGGGTTGCGCCCGTGCCTCCACGTCGGGGCCGCCGCATCGGCCTGGCAGGGGGCGCGTCAGCGGGCGGGGCTCTCCCGGCGCAGTGGGCCATCGCGTCACCGGGTGGGGGAGCCTCTCCCCATTGCCCAGCGGCACGCAGAGAAGGGAGGCGTCGGGGTCCAGCGCGGCGGGCGGGGCACCTGGAAGTCTCTGCGTGATGCAGGCGCCGTCGCTTGGCATCCCAGCGGTCCTCGGAGTCCAGCTCGGGGGTACTGTTTCTTGTGTCGTTCGCTTGTTGGTGCAGGCTTCTCGTCCCAGTTTGCGGTCGGAGCAAAGGCCTCTTTCAGTATGACCGTATGACACGCGTACGTCACAACGGTTGTCTTCCGAATTTGTTCGGGGTCAAATTGAACCAAGCGGGCTCTCTTGGTAGTGCTTTTGTATTGGACTGGCGGGGGGGAGAGGATCAGCATGTTCGACGATTAATATCGGGGAGCCTACTTGCGCTACGTTCGTGCGCGTTGAAGCGGCCGCGACCGCAGCGTGGCCGTTCGAGGTTGAACGCCGCTTGTTGCCCAGAATGGCCGACATCGCACGAATTGCGCTATCGGAAAGACACGATCGCTCAAGGTTAAACGATCCACGTGGTGTCAGAACCTAATGCCGACGTCATCGCGATGTCAACCCGCCGTATGCGATGGCTCCGGCAAGCTGTGAATGTGCAGCCAATGCGCAGGACGCTGTGGAAGTCGACGGCCTCGCTGGGCAGGCCAGCCACGCCACTGCCGCCATTCGTCGGTGGGGCGGTCGAGGCTGAGGAAAGCGACACCAGAGAGGGTGTCGGACTAACGGCGAAGGTGCTCTGGTCATGATCGGAGAAGAAAAAACGGCATACACATTAAACTTTTGGCGCTCCGCGCGGATTTCTGCGCTGGGCGCACTGGGCGGCGCCTCCGGCGCCGCCCCTGGCGCGCTCCGCGCGCCAGGGAGGGGGGCCCAGCGCGGAGTCGAGAAAGCCGCGCGGACCGTCGAAAGTTTATGTTTATGCCGTTGTTTGCTCCTCGAGATGCGGGCGTCGACGGCCCTGCCGGGCAGGCCAAACGCGCACGGCCGTCGCCCTCGTCGGTCACGCTGTCCATCAGTGCAGGCGAGCCCCGTCCAGTCAGGGAGGCGGCCGAGGCCGGGGCTCCCCATCGCAGAGCCTCGCGCCGGAGCTCGCCCGAAGTAGCCGTGGGGACCACGAGCGCCGAACAGGGTCACCCGGGTCGCTGATCCTGAGCGCCTGGGGCAGCACTGGTGGGTCTTGGTGGATGAAGGCGCCGATGGGCTCGGCCATGGAGGCGCTCTCGAGGCGCACGACGCTGGCCGGCTTGAGCAGAAGGAAGACAGCCAGAGAGGGTGCTGGATCATCCCATCATCTTCTCTAGGTGGCGAGGGGCAGGACATGAGCATTGATCGCAGTGCCGGGCGTGTCGGACGCAGAGGTGCCATGGGCCGTGCTTGTCCGTTGATCAGCCGTCGGGCCGCGGAAGTGGTCGAGGCCGAGGACTCCGCCGTAGAGCATCGCGAGGCTCCCGCGTCAGCATCCATTGGAAGCACGGCAGCACCGTCTGGGCCGCCGTCCGCGGGCTTCTGGTGCAGTACGAGGGGCCCCGGCGCCTCGCACAGAAGACGCCGACTCGCCCGCTCGTGGAGGCGCATCTGCCCGCCACGTGCTCGCGGGCGTCCGCGGCAAGCACCAAGGCCCTTCGGGATGCCATCGCGGAGGCCGCCCACGCCTCCCGTCTCTCCTGGTGTGCATCGTTTGCGGTGAGGGCGGCGGTGGCCTTTAGTCGTGGCGCGGGACCTCGTGTGCAGTGGCCCCATTGGAGGCTTGAGAGCCCAGCGTTGGGCTCTCCGCGAAGGCGAAGCCGCGGTGGAAGCCCTGCCAATTGGATGCTTGCAGTCATTCGTGCGCGGCCCCAGCAGGGCGCCCTCTGTTGGCCCGCGTGCGCCGCCGCCGAAGGAGCACGATGCCATGCCCTACGAAAACGCAGACCAGCTCGCCAGATGGTGGTGGTTCTGCCAGCGGGTCTGGCCACCCACCCATCAGAAGGATGGATCAGCAGCAGAGGACGTGCCCCCCGCACCATGGATAGAAAATGCCGAGCGCAGCGAGCGGTATGCCAACGGAGCCGACCTGTGTGGTCGTTCGGAGCGGTCTTGGCACAACCGTGTCCTTGAGCCTGCTGCCGTTAACAGTAGAGTGCACGTTGCCGATGCCCTTGTTGGACAGGGCGCTGGTCCACCCATTTCCCCTGGCCCATCCGACGACCACAGGACGAATGAAAACGACATGAGGGCAACGTACAAGCACATGAAGATCCGCACATCCTCTGCGATCGCCTCGATGGCGTTTGCCTGGGCGGCGGCGCAGCAGGTCCCAGAGACCCTGGGAAGGCACCTTGATCGTTCGATCCATGGACAGGCTACTCCCGTCGGCGCCGTCCACGCTGAAGTCTGTGGCGACCCAGCTGTCTCGTGTATTCGGAGCTTCTTCATACGAGTGTGTTTGATCCCCTGATGGGAAGTAACCCTGCCTCGTCGGCAAACTATGCCAGGGTTGGAGCGCCTTCGGCGCACAGAAGTTGTCCGTGGCGGGATCCGCTTGGGGCTGTCACTAGGGGTGGCGCACCCCCGGCGCCTATCTAGAACATCAAAATACGCGCAAAGGTATCCCAGCCTACGCCCACCGAGCAACATCAGATGCCGATGAAGACCAGCACTGGTGCAGTGACTATGCCGAAGCCCAGCGAGGCCACAGCCAGTGCCGCCGTCAACGCGCCAACAACCACAAGCACCGGACGCAGCTCCACTCGCAGTGGACACGTGTCCATACATTCAGCGCGAGCTTTTGCCACAGCCTGCGTTGATTGTGGCGACTTGGCCGCGTCCCCGCGCTGAACGCTTGTATGTTCCTCTGCGGTTCTCGCAACTCTGACCTGCAGCCCCAGACCCCCAACGTCCTTATTTGTTCACGACGTGAACCCCAGGAGGTCTGGACACCCCTTTGCTTGGGCCACTTCTTGATTCCGAGTAGTATCGTGCAGTCCCGCGGGCTGGCAAGAGACCCATGAGGCCGAATACGGCCCGAAGCCTTCCGTCGTGAATCGTTTCACGATGCGAGGGGGTCTGGGACGTCCCAGCAGGCGGCGCCTTGTTCCACTTGCTGTGCGTCTGCTGCCCCAGTGTGTCGCGGTCGCGTCCAGGGCTCTGCGGCGCACCGCTCCCACCGCCCCCCCAAGTCGCCGTCGTCCGTCGCAGTGAGCGCGCCGCGGCAGGTACCAGGAGGCCCTGGAGCGTTTCGGCAAGATCGAGCGCGGGCACGGGGTGGGCTTCGCAGCCTTCAACCTGTGGATGTACTACGTGGATCCACAGCGCTTCGCCGCTTCCCCGAAGCGCACTCCCCTCTCTCCATGTCCATGTCTTAGCCCCCACCGATCCTTCTAACTTAGGGGGAGGGGGGAGGGGGGAGAGGAGGAGGGCGGGGGAGGCGGGCAGGGGGAGGGAGCAGGAGGCAGGAGGCGGGGGGTGGACGGGGAGGGGGGAGGAGGAGGAAGAGGAGGACCATCCAGGAAGGACGTCCGAGGCTCCGTGAGCGCAATGGTGCCTTCAGCCAGCTCGGAGCCTCCGCCCGAAGAGACAGCCCAGAGCCGGGCCCATGTGTGAGCCATTCTTTGCTCCCAGACCTCCGGTGTCTTGATTTGTTCATTACGGGGTCCCTGGAAGGTTCGACCCATTCCCCAAAGGCGGTTTTACACCCCGAGCCTTTTTGTTGACGGTCCTGGGGTCCGGCGAGGAATTTTCAAAACCTCAGGCCGCGCTTTTGTTTTTCCACGACGCGAGCGTGTCTGCGCCTGCCCCTCCGCCTGCCCCCCCTGTGGGCTGGGCGGGGCCCGGCGGATTATGGCTTCACGCTGGTGGCCATGAGGCGCTTCGAGCAGGGGATACCGCTGCTGGAGCAGGGCCTCCAGAGGAACACGGCCGTGCCCCATGGGTCCGGGGCCCAGCGCAGAGGCCCACTGCGCAGAGGGCGGCGAGAGGGCCGAAGGGCAGCGCCGACCACCTCGGCCGAAGCCCGGCCGGGCCGATGCTGGGGCGCGGGATCGGGGTACGCAGATTGATGGGCAAATGTTCCAACACCGCTATCATAGGTAGGGCGGGGGAGAAGGGAGGATGAGAAGTTTCTCCTCCTCCTCCTCCTCCTCCTCCTCCTCCTCCTCCTCCTCCTCCTCCTCCTCCTCCTCCTCCCACTCCCTCCTCCTCCTCCTCCTCCTCCTCCTCCTCCTCCTCCTCCTCCTCCCCTCCTCCTCCTCCTCCTCCTCCTCCTCCTCCTCCTTCTCCCTCCTCCCTCCCTCCTCCTCCTCCTCCTCTTCCTCCTCCTCCTCCTCCTCCTCCTCCTCCTCCTCCGAGGCGTTGTGGTCCGAGGCGCCCCATTTTGGGCTAGCGGCCCGACAGACCACGACCCCAGCCCCGCGGGGCGACTTCTTTCCTCTTGCCTCAGGAGCGGGCGCGACGGCCGCCATCGCAGGGCGGTCCCGCTCACCGGTGTGGCACCGCAGGGCGCGGCGCCAGCGGGCGGCCTCCAGGGCTCGGCTGCAGCGCGAGAGGGACATCGTTCGGTTGCAGGACCACCACGGCAGCACACCTCCCAGGATGCCTGGGAAGCAGCAGCGAGGTTCAGTTTCGCCGTGGTCAACCTGCAAGAGCTGTGGCGCGCACGAGTGGAACGGGGCCCTGCAGAAGCAGGGCTGCAAGTGCAGCCGCTGCGGAGTAAAGGTCGACCTCTACACCGCTAAGGGGAGCAACTCCAAGGAGGGCAAGGCGGGCAAGGTTCCCGTCGTCGGGAAGGGGCCCAGCGACTCAGTCTCGGCAGAGGACAAGCCCATCTTGACCCTGGAGGCTGCTCTCAGGTGCACGGAGGACCCCGCCCTCCGCAGGATGATCCAGTCGCAGATCGACGACCTCAGGCACAAGCGGGCTCGGCAGTCTGCTGTGCCTCCAGAGGACGCACTGCGGCTAGCAGACGGCGCCGTCCGCGACGCCTCCGCCAAGCACGACCAGGCCATGGCGCGACTTCTCAAGTGTCGAGATGCCTTAGAGGAGGCGCAGGAGAAGGAGCGCCTGGCCGCACTCGTTCTCGCCCAAGCCGAGGACACGAAAAAGCTCGCCGCGCAGGCCCTCGCCGCCAAGCTGGGCGTCACTGTCCAGGAAGGTGAAGGCTGCGCCGAGAGCAAGACTCTTTTTCAGATTACATGGGACGAGGATTTCTTCCGCAATCTTGACAGCATGGAGGCCGAGCAGTCTGAAGTTCAGGAGCTTCGCAAGCTGGAGTCCGACCTCAAAGCAGTGAAGGACCAGCTTGCCACCAAGAACACGCAGGTGGGCGACTGGTTGCAGCGGGCCAAGGAGCTCCAGAGCCAGCTCACCGACAGGATGGCCAAGAAGCGCAAGGGCGACAGTGGCTCCTCAGCAGTCGGGGCAGCAGGTGGTGGTGCGCAGGCGGCTGCAGCTGCTGGCGCCCCACCCACCGCCGCCGCGGCAGCGGGCGCGGCCGCAGGCAGCGCGGCGGCGGCCGCCCCCCCAGCCGCCGCCCCCGCCGCGGCCGACCCCGAGGCAGCCAGAGTCGCTCGGGAGGCGCGCGAGGCCCGCATCCAGCAGGCCGCGGCCAAGATCAGCGCTTCCAAGGCTGCCGCCATGCAGGCGTCCGAGGCGGCCAAGAAGGAGGCGGCTGGCGGCGCTGGGGCGGCGGCCGCTGGTGGCGGCAAGTGACGAACGGGCAGGAGCGGCGGCGCGGGTGTGCAGGCAGCCACGTCGACGACCGCTCGGGGAGAGTCTGCGTTGCAGACTGACCTGCCTTGGGGTACTGAGGTCGCCACGACCTCCAAGAGCCAGAGTGACACATTCATATTTTTCTCTAATGTCACTGCCATGGGGAAGCAGGCCTGGGACTACGTGACTGGGCCCGCTTCGACTCCGTATCACTACTTCTTGCTAGTTGAGACTCACATCGAGTCCGCCAGCGACTTGCAGCACTGGAAGGGCCAGGCACGCAAGTCGCATCTCAAGTTGATAGACAATCCAGCTCGCGGGACGGGCCGCGAGCAATCGGAGGCCACCAAGGACAGGGCCAACGAGGGCGGCGAGTGGATCCTTGGGAGGCAGCATTTACAGTTCCACAGGGTCCATGACACCGACTCTGTGTGCCGCGACCTCAAGGCCGAAGGCAGCGCCGCCCTGGACGGGTTCACGGTGGCGATCCTCAACCAGCAAGGGTATTCCATCGCGCTGATCGCCTTCTACGGCTACTGCTCCGAGGGCCTCCACGGCAGGAACTTGGTGCGTTTCGCCAAGCTGGGGGCCCTCGTCTCTCAGCTGAAGCTGCCGTGGATTTGCATAGGCGACTTCAACCTCCCACCGTCCGTCCTGGCCGACGCTGGGTTTTTGGATCGTGTGGGTGCCAATGTCCTCACCGCTGCCGACACGGAGTACACCTGCGTGGGCGGCATGGGCAAGGGCAGCACGCTGGACTATGCCGTGGCCAGTTATTCGGCGTTACCGTATATCGTGGGTTTGAGCGCAGTTTTGTCAGTGCCTTGGCGACCGCATTGCGGGCTTCAACTTCGGCTGAGAAGTTCGGGGTCTCAACTGTTGTGTCGGCAGCTGGTGCTTGCAGCTCAACTCCCACAAGTACCTCGACCTACCGCCCAGCCGCAAGAGGGTTCCAAGTCGTCCGTGGCCCGAGGGGAGCGCGTCCTGGCACGACGGGCGGCCCAGGACAGGATGGCGACGGCGACGGATGAGATGTTCGGAGACCTCTGCTCTGTTGGAGGTGCGACGGCGTCTACATCGGCGACGGCTTCTTCCTCTGAGGGCGAGCCTAGTGCGCAGGCCAATTCTCTTGCCCCCGACTGGCCTGAGTCGGACGGTGAGGGCGACTACGTGCCCCCAGGTTTCTTTGGGCCCGAGGCTGGCAGCCCAGCGGCTGCCGTGCCTCCAGCCTCGCCCAGGCCCGAAGAGGCCGAGGTCGCGGCTCCGTCTCACGGCATATCGAGTGTGCTTACCGCACCCCACGAGTCTCGGGACCCACCCAGTTGTTCTGCCTCCCCCGAGGTCCCCTCGAGCACCCATGGCGGTGCCCTGCCTGCCTTTTTCCTCCCCTCTGACCTCTGGGACTCCTGCAGGGCACAAGTGGGCTACACGGACTCCGCTGGCGCCTCGGATGTTATTCCTGCCATTGCCAATTCTGCTGCGTTTGCGGTTGGGGGACCACATATTCTACGTCTGGGAGCTCTTTATGGATCTTGGGTCAAAGCTTTGGAGCGCACCGTCTGTATTCACCATGGGACGAATCTAGCGGGGCCTTCCAGGGACTCAGGGCCTAAGTACACCTTCACCGAGGTTAAAGCTCCATCTAAAGTTCGGGAACAGCCTCTTCATGATCAGGTGTCGTCTTGGTGGGGCAGGGTCACCACAGTACTGACCAAGCTCAGCTTGCATCGGTCTCGTGGCAACGGACCCATACAGCAGCAGCAGCTCGTGGAGGCGTGTGCGGCCTTGGCAGGGGACCAGCCAGACAGCGTACACGTGCCTCTCGCTTCGTTTGCCGACCCGACCGTGGCCTCGTGGAGCGAGTGGCAAGCTCGGCTACTAACGGTCACCGACATGCCTGATGCCAGCCTGCACGAGATGGCCGTCACGGCCAAGCGCATCACAGGTCGAGCTCGTCGACGGGCTTTGGGGGCGTCTCTTAAGGAGCTTAGTGCTTGGATTTCGACCTCAGAGGCTCCTGGGATCCTCCACAAGGCTCTTAAAAAGACCCCCCCTGTCCCCGATGAGCTCGTAGTCGACGGCCAGGTTATGTATCATCCCCTGGACATCGTTGATAGCAAAGCCAGTACGTGGAAACAGCTCTGGGGCCCAAGGGAACCCGATCTACACGATGTCCAGGAAGTATTCCACGAAATTCGCGAAGTTGCTCGGCACGAACGCCTCGAGCCACTTTCCCACGACAGAGTCCGTCAAGCGCTACATTCCATGCGAGCTAAGACAGGACCCGGGGTTGACAAACTCACCCCGTTGGATATAGAACGTTTGCCTTTTGCTGGAGTTTCGGAGCTCGCTGGGCTTTACAATGCCTGCGAGGAATGCCTCTCCTGGCCCTGGCAGGTTCTCCTGGTCGTGGGGAAGCTTTTAGGGAAAAAATCGGGTTCTGACCGCGTTATTGGTCTCATGTCTATGTTTACCAGGACTTGGTCCCGTGCTCGGGAGGACGACGTCCGTTCTTGGTCTCAGGACTCCGAGCCTGCGTGGGACGCCGCAGTGGCGGGGAACTCGGCGCTCCGCGAGGCCTTCGTCCGCGCTTTGAAGGACGAGGCCATGCACAACTTGGGGATCGCTTTTCGGGGAGGGCCTCGTAGACATCAAGGGGTTCTACGATGAGATGCAGTGGGGCCCTCTGGCTCGGGCCGCTCTCAGGCTTGGGTTCCCTCCTGAGGTTCTCTTCTTGGAACTACAGATGTGTGCTGCACCCCGTACGGTCTCTCAGTTGGGGTCTTACTCCGAGGCCTTCCAGGTCGTCCAGAGCATCATTCAGGGGCTCAGGTCTGGGACGCGTTTCGGGCGATGTATGATCTATTTCATCATGAGTAAGATTACAGTGGCACATCCGTCTATGTCTGTTCGAGTTTGGGTTGACGATATTAATGAGCATGTCGATGGCTCTCGGAAAGCAGTTCGAGAGAAGCTATATCAAGGCGTGCTCGACACGTGTCGGTCCCTTGTGGCGCACGGCTTGCCTGTGTCACCCAAGAGCGTCATCATGTGCACCAACGCCTCTGACAGCAAAAGTGTTGTCCAACGCCTTCGGCGTCGGGGTTTTCATCTGCAGCATGCTCTTCAAACCACTCTCCTCGGGGCTGATCTTGGGGCTGGTCGCGTAGCGCGGGCCTCTCGGACCAAACGGGTGGCTAAGGCGAAGGGCATGAATTTTAGGAT